TAAACAGAGAGAAGAATCGAGACCTGGAGGAACAAGGAAACTAACTACAAGTGGCCAGCAATCTATTTTCTGGCGGCCACTGTTCTTTGCAATCTACTTTACAATCACTGAATCTCACAGCAAACGTGAGTAATACCCCATCTTACAGATGAGGAACTGTGCCCAAGATCACACAGCCCACTCTCAAATTTAAAAGGTCAGGCCTCCTGCATCTGTCAATGTCCCTCAACATCAACATGGAAGAGGATGTGCTTCAGTCACACTGGGTTATCAGAACACAACCTTCTGCAAATAGACCAGCCTTTTAAATGTGAATCACACCCCCAGAGTTTATGTATATAATATCTGGGAAAGGAGTTGGGGGATAAAACACCATGGGACAGGACAACTCACACACACACACACACACACACACAACACACACACACACACAAATCTTAGTTAATTCAAAATCTGATGCAAACCAAATTGAAGGAGCTTCCTGTAGTACTTGCCAGTGCTGTGACACGCGACTTCACTTTGCACCATACATGGGGTCACAGCACACAACACAGAATGCTGCTGGAATACCTCCGCTCACATGGAAACTACTGTAAGTCAGAAACTGCTGTATTTTTCCTGCCCGTGCAGGAATTACATTTCTGCTCTGAGAGAAATGTAACAGCCTTTTGTTGCTGCTGCTGTTGTTCTTTGGTTTTGTTTTTCGAGACAAGGTTTCTCTGTGTAGCCCTAGCCCTGACTTTCCTGTAGACCAGTCTGTCCTCAAACTCACAGAGGTATGCCTGCCTCTGCCTCCTGAGTGCTGGGGTTAAAGGTGTGCACCACCACGCCCAGCTTCTAGAATAACTGATTTTAAAAATTACTGTTTGAGTAGCTGACTTGAATTCCATCCAAAGTAATTTTTTTAAAAAATGGAATGGAATAGAATTTCCAACAGTTTCTGAGGTGATCCTAAACACATTTCTGCCATTTTTTAACTACATATTTTTATATGAAGCAGCATTCTTGGCACTGATGAATATGGAAGATGGGCCGCTTATGAAAATGCTGAAGATGTTCTAGGTCCTGAAGTATCCAGTCTCCAGGCAAGGTTTAATTCTGTATGCAAATAAATGAGAACATCTATTTCATTACCATGAAATTTCTCTTCTGTAATAAACGGTGAAGGTATTCATATACCAAACAAGTACTTTTAAAAGAAGAATTGCTTCATGGCTTATTATAAGTACTTGTTTGATTTATATACCTACTTTACATATTCTATATGCCAAGGGTTGTTCAAAAATTTGTGAGACGAAAGGGAACACAGGTAGAGAGAGACTGAAGAATCTCTAGGAGTATGCATCTCCTCTAAGAGCATATGAGGGTTTAAAAGGCTTTGCTGCCTTAACATGGAAATCCAAATGCTACTTGTTTTTCTTTGTCTGTGAGTTCATTTGCTAACATGAAAGAAAATAGAATCAAAAATGGGCTTTTTAACTCAGAAGACAAAGGCAGGTGGATTCCTGAGTTTCAGGCCAGCCTGATCTACAGAGCAAGTTCCAGGACATCCAAGGAAACCTAAAAACCCTGTCTCAAAAAAAAAAAAAAAAAAAAAAAAGAATTAGAAGAAGAAAGGAAAAGAAAAAGGTAAGAAAAGAAAACGGACTTTTAAAAACTTATCAGGTTCCTTTTTAAAATTAAAAAAAAAAATCTTATTTAGACTAGGCTAGACTAGAACGCAAAATTAGCCTGCCTCTGCCTCTGCCTCCTTGGTGCTTGGGATTGCAGGCATGAACCAGGACCCTGAGCTCTAGTGTTCTATGTTTGGCTTTTCTTTAAAACAGTTTTCCTTCTACAAAAACTCGGCATAAAAACTCGCCAAGAACAGGAACCATTTCCCTAGCTAGCTTGTAAGAACACCTGGGAAAATGTGCACGTGTGACCAGTGCTATCATCTGAAAAAAACATCACACTGGCTGGGCCCTGCAGACCAGCGCTCTCCATAGAAACGCCACCAACCACAGCAGGACAGCTGACGCGCCTATAATCTACCGACAAAGTGTACTCCTTAGCAAAGCAAAGCCAGATGTCTGGTGTGAAGTCAGATGCCTGTGGACTTGTCTTTCTCAGCTCCAAGCGTGACACCGGACACACTAAATACACACTTGGCTGAATATTAGACCCACAACTTGGCGAAACCATGACAGAATGGACGCGAAGCGTCAGCATTGTTATTATAATGCTTCTAAGGCATCTAGATGTGTCTGGAATAGAAATACTAACTTGGAGCACTCAGATAAATGTGACAGGCTGTCCGTCTCACCTAGGGAATGGTGGCAGAGCTCTGTAAACATAGGACAGAAACCCTTTCCCTTGTTTCTCGAGCTGGCACCCTTAGGCCGGACTGTAGAGGATCTGAAAGGAAAATCAAGCCACACTAGGTGTGGATCTTTGTTTCAGAAATTCTGGGATCAGATGCAGCAGATGCACGTCAAATGCATCATGAAGATGCATAAATCAGGGAGGCTTGGTGCTTACAGGAGAATGGGTTCTAGGCTGCCTGGCACTGTGCAGAGGACAGGCAGGGCCAGAGAGATGACTCAGCAGTCAAGAGTAATGGCTGCTCTTCCAGAGGACCTGTGTTCAGCTCCCATCACCCACAACTGTCTATAATTCCAGTCCCAGGGGATCCAAAACCTCCATGAGGCATACGTGGAGGCAAAACACCAACACATACAAAATGCAAATAAGTTTAAAAAAAAAGAAAATGGCGACAACCAGAGAAACAGGACAGCGAGCACACAGGTGCATGTCAGGTCCTCATTGCTCTGTGTAGATAGCATCCAAATCAAGCAGCAGGGAAGCTGTAATGGGTCCCCAGCGGACAGAGTCAATAGGATGCAAGGCTGTGTCTAAGATTACAGATACTACGCCAGGCGTGGTGGCACACTGCTGTAATCCCAGCACTCGGGAGCCAGAAACAGGAAAGTTCCCCGTTCAGGAGCAGCCACACTGGTGAAACAGTGTGGAGGCTGGGCTGAAGCTCTTTTGTGGAGAAGCTGCTGAGCAGAGTCCGGGGCCTGGGTTTGACCTCCAGCACCTCAGAAAAATAAAGGACTATAAAAGGCATGACACATCTACATGAAAATTTTAGGGAGAGCGGGACTGGTAGCTAACAGCCAAAAGAAAAGAAAAGGGAAAAAATGTACAGTTTTACCAAGAATGGTAACATACATATATTACATTGTATATGTTTCATGCAGATAAATACCTCCACTGCATGACCAATTAACATGTAGCTGTGGGTTCCATGTCTATGCATGGTATAAAACCTTGAAAAGGTAAATATGAAAATATTAAAAATTTGAGATGGATTTATGTTAGTTTTTACTTCCATACTCCTATGAGTTAACCCTAAGTAACAGTTAAATAACTTAATTTTTATCTCAACCTATTCTCATGCCAATAAAGCAATGGGGATAAAGGTACCGAAATCCACAGCAGGCCGGCTTCAGCATCACTCTCCTAAGTACACCACCCTTGGCTGTCTCCCTGTTTTCTCAGACTAAGCCTTCTGATAGGACAACTCAAAATGCTACTCTCGTCTGGTTTCTGTACCCGAACAACACATTCATGGCACTGGAGAACGACCATAACACTCTGCATGATGGCAAACACACTGAAATCTACAGGAAAGTGGGCCGACAGCCCTGTTCTCCCACAGAACTTCAGATCCGTAAGCCACTACGACAGCAGCAGAGCGGAGTTCTTGCCCCTTTACACATAATTATTCAAAACTTCCACAGAAACCTAACAGAGGTCCATTCCCCCACCTCCACCCCCCCAAAAAAGGCCCATCTCCCCCACCCTCATCTCCCCACAAAAAGGCCATCTCCACAGTCTCATTTCCGCATTCTCTTTTGTTTGTTTATGGGATTTTGTTTTGTCTTTGAGATGGGGTCTCACTGTGGGATCCTGGCTGGACTACAACTCCCTAGACTGGCCTCAAACTCACAGAAATGCACCCAGCTATGCTGGGACCAAAGGCTGGAGCCGTCACCACCCGTTCTCCAGATCCCATTATAATCAGTGTTCATGCAACACATGCTGAAAGGGCATCATAAACAGAGCCCCTTGGTAATAAACAACCATGTCCCAGTTCCTCATGAATTGTGTGAACATCCACAACTTAACAAGGAAGCCAGGCTCACAGCTAGCCTGGGCCAGGATGGCCACTGAGGGTAAGTCTAGCTTTCCTGTTTAAGTATACAGGCTTTTACTGTTCTTGATAATAGCTAACTTACTGGATTCTGGGTAAAAGTTAACAGTGACATATATAATGGGGGGGGGGGGTGTTCCAACCTGAGAGAAGCTGTGTACCCCATCACCAGAGACTAGGGAAGTTGTGTATAGGAGAAAAAACAGAAACGTCTCAGAAAAGAACCAATGAAAAGAGACAGCACTGAGTGCCTCGGTAAACTTCCCAGGACGTCAAGGTAACTTTTTAGAAAAGTACGGAATGCTTGAGGACAAATTCTTTCTTCTGTAATTCTGAAAGGTCTCGAAAGAGTGTCCAGTATATGAAACTGCCACTATCTTTATGGGATATGTGTTTTTTCACCCCTGCTGGTAGATTTTAAAATGCAAAGATTCCCTGGAAGAGTAATCACCACGCAAAACCTGGATTACCTGCAAAGCCTGGATTACCTAACACCCTACTAGTGAATGCCACCTAGCAAGACAAGGGACCACAGGGGGACCACAGCATCAATGTGCAAGACTAAAGACTTCTGAAAGGAAGTGAGTTTTCTGTCAGGGGATTTAAAAGCTGTTTAAACTTCCAGCCCACTTCATGGACTTCGAAAACCTGAGGAAACGCTTGGTCTTGGGACCAGTGACCTTCGAAGGTGGACCTCCAATTTCTGATAAAAAGTGGAATTTGGACCCAAGTTCCCAGGAGCAGTTTCACCTCTAGAAGAACAGAGTCTTGGCTCCTTCCGCCCCTGAGTGATACTTACTTACCCTTTCTCCCGCTCTTCCTCGGTGAGAAGGGGTAAGTGGTAGTATTGTACCCTCGCCCAATTTGGCCAAAATCCTAAAAGTGAAAACGACAGAGACAGGTCCTTTAAAATCCTGTGGCTCGAGCCTGAGCAGCTCCCACCAGCTGCCCACCGTGACTCCAGGAGCAGCGCTACCTCCGGGCTGCTCTCTGGGCACTCCTGGGCGGCGGGGAGAGGTCGCCTCCCCGCCCGGATCGGGACTCGGGTTCCCTAACTGAGGAGGACAGACAGAGAGGACAGCCGCGCGGCCTCGCTTGGAACACGCGCACGCACGCATGCTCGCCGCGGTCGCGCGAGTAGCGGCCGAGCGGCTCCCCGCCTCCCAGCAACGCCCCCGTGTCCCAGGCCAGCCCCGGGATCCGAGACCCCGCCCGGGACACCGAGGGTCTGCCCGAGTCCACCCGCGTGCCTCACCGCCCCGACCCGCCAGCCCATGCCCCGCGCACCCGCTGCGCAGCTCAGCCCAGGGGAAGTCCCCGCGGCACGCCACGCCCTCCGCCGCGGCACGCCACGCCCACCCCGCGCGGGTAGCCCCGCCCACCGCCACGGCTCGCCCAGGCCCCACCCCCAGCTAGGCAGCAGCGGGAGACTCCGCCCCCTACGGAAATCCCGCCCCCGGAGCGCGGCTCACGGTTGACTGGCAGCCAGGAGATGGGTTATGTATGTCAGCGGCTGCACTGAGCCCGCCGCCTGCCCGTTGCCGGTATTAGGGACTTTAAGTCTAAGCCCGGCGTCACGGTCAGGGCTAAAAGGGCAAGAAAAAGCAGCAAACCACAGGAAGCTGTGTTCAGCTTCTCCCCGTAGTTGTAGGTCAGGCACCGAGACTGAACTGCTCTTTGGTGTGTTGTTCGGTGGAGATTTTGGTTTTGTTTGCTTGCACACGGGGAAACTTTTATTTGGCTTCCTCTAACAAGCCAAAAGAGAAAAGAAATCCAGAACAAGTGTTTTGTTTTTTTATTTGTTTTTTAAAGAAACTAGATTTTCATTTTATACTTAAATTGTACAAAATGTTAGCTGTGTTATTACAGTGTACAAAGATAAACAGTGTTGACGGAAAACTGAACAGACAACAAACAACAAAATTGGTTGTTTTTTTATTCCTCCCAAATTGTACTTTTATCTTTTCTAGCTTTATCCTTCTAGATGATGCTATCGTTCTCAAGGATAAATAGTGCATTACTATAAGTACATAGTGTCCTGACACTCAGAATTCAAAATTAATTTTAAAGATGGGACAATGTAAGAGGCTTAAACAGAGCCAGGTAGTGGTGGCACACGCCTTTAATCTCAGCACTCAGAGGGCAGAGGCAGGGCTCTCTCTGAGGTAGAGACCTGGTCTATAGGACAAGTTCCAGGACAGCCAGACCTACACGGAGAAACCTGGTCTCGGAAAACCAAACAGAAAATAGCTGCACCTCCATTCTAACCCCAACAGTAACCTTGATAGTTATAGAAGTCACCAAAGAGAACAAGGTTACTGTCCTGGGTAGGATGTAGGTGCAGTTATTCTTATCAGCAGCTGAGATAATTCCTGCAAGTTAAGTTTGATCCTCAGTGCTTACTGACCTAATTTCAAGAACATATCTTGGGGGCCACTTCTGATGACAGAGCCAGTTTACAGATCGGGTTAGGTCCTAATAGTAGAGAGACTCCAAATTAAACAAGAGGTTGGTCCAGTGAGGACAGGATGGTGTGGGGTGAAATTAACATAGATAACAACAAAGACAAGTGGGGGCGGCTTTAATTGTACTGGAAAGTAAATAAGTCTACAAAAAGAGTCGCCAAGTGACTTTCTCACTAAGATTCATCAAAAATATTTAAGAAATCAAAGCAACCCAGAAAGCCTACATCCCCTATTTTTCCCAACTGTAAGTCATTCTGGAAATGGCAAAACTCTGAGGTCAGAGCAAAGGGGACTTTTAGGACACTGGTAGTATTCTGTATGATGCTATACTTATAATATGTGTCATTATACATTTGTTAAAGCCACAGATGCAAATAGTGAACCCTCATCTCTGACTGGGTGACGGTGATATGACCCTGCCATTTAACCTGCACTATGCCTCGGGACGTTAATGGGAAGGCTGTACATGCATGGGGCATATGTGGGGATTCTGTCCATTCTGCTCAGTTTTGCTCTCCACCTAAAATCTGCTCTCTAAAAATAAAATTATAGTTTTAAAAGAAGCTAAATAAAGTCTCTGAACATCTTCTATTCTTCAAGGTCATTATAGTTGAAGCTCAAATATTTGACGTCAATGCCACCAGAGGAAACTGAGTCGTATGTTCCTAAGATACAAATTTAAATTAATTTTAAATACAATATACACATATATGCATGTATGTATGTATTTAGAGAGAGAGATAGCTGGGCCCTAATGTCTGCCTTGGGGGAGGGGGTGAGAAGGCACAACATCAACAGCTCAGGCATCGGTAGTCAGGTGGAAGGTGTAGAGCAGACTCATTTATTTAACAAGGGGAAAACATATACCCACACAGCACCCATGCATTCCAATCCTTCGACATCACGTGGTCGCCCCTCATTGGCTAGGCATGATCAGAACCTGGCAGCACCAGGCAGACTCCAGGGTAGCTTCTCTTGGCCTGGTAGGCCTTAACTTCACACACACACACACACACACACAAATACATATACACATACATATTCATATGTATACACACAATAGAATTCCTATCTCTACACATTGGCTATTAATAAGCAAAAATTGTGAAATATCATAGATTTATTGTTCTCAAACTTTTGTTTCCAAAATATTTTTATAATTAATAAACTCATGTATGTGTCTAATGCACTCTGGTTACCCCCTCTTGTTTTCCTCTTCTTCTACTTGCTAGTGTTTGTTTTGTCTAGCATCTCACCGAGTTGAACTGTAACCCTGGAACAGACCATCAGAGACTGGTGGGCTCAGCAGCCTCTGTACAGTTAAATGCTGGTTTTTTGAGGACTCTGCAACCTGGGCATAACGCAGCACAGCATGAATGAAAAAGGATATAAAAAGGAAAGAAACATGACTGGTCCCAGGTAAGGAGGAGGAGAAAATTTATTATAGATATGTTGGGGAGCACAGCCAGAGGCAGAGACATCCGGGAAAGTTCAGAATGGATATGAACAGACTGAGTGGGGCCATGTGGGGAAAAGAGGAGAAGGCAGAGAGGAGAGAAGTGGAGAGAGGTGAGAGAAGGGAACCAGGTACAGCAGCCAAGAGGGCAAAGGCACGAAAAGAGCAGGTAACCAAAATATCCAGATTTTATAGGGAAGAGCCTCTGGGGGAAGTCCCTAGGGTGGAAAGTCCATGGTTGGGGGTGGGATATGCCAGCCATACCAAGTAACTGGTAGGGACTGGGGGATTCTGGGAGAAACTGAAGGCCAGGTCTGCTTTGTTGTGTTAAATAGGCATCTCAAACTTTCATCCCCAGTGTGCAACTTGATACTTTAACTCCATAAGGTGCACTGAACCTGTTGCTGCCCTTGTTTGGAAGCAGAATCTCAGGGTCTTCTGGACCATGAAATGGAGAGGAAAACACATCCATTCTCATCACTGCTGCCTGGCTGAGTGCTCACGCACCGCACAGACGCTGCCTCAGAAGCGGCATGATTGCTGATCACCTTCTCATTTCTCTAATAGTCCTTTTACAGCACAGTTCACAGGCTGTTTCAGAAGATAGTTACTGTCTTGCTTGTTACCAGAAAGAAGAAGAAAAAAACAAAACAAAACAATATAGACTACATTGCAAGCACCCAATGAGTTTCCAATTGACTTTAAAAAAAGAACTGCTTGGTGTTTTCTGTGTCACTGAGACATATGCTTTTAAGAATTTAAACATTAATCCCTATGCTTTGCTCCATGCAATGATAATGGGAGTTGGGTAAAAACTCCATCGAATTACAGTTGCCACATTCATGTTTTCAAAGTCTAGGTGTCTTCGGTCTATTTAAAAATCTTTCTTAGTTGGGCGGTGGTAACACACGCCTTTAATCCCAGCACTTGGAAGGCAAAGGCAGGCGGATCTCTGTGAATTCGAGACCAGCCTGGACTACAGAGTGAGTTCCAGAGACATGTTCCAAAGCTACAGAGAAACCCTATCTTGAAAAATAAAAAAAAAAGAAACAAATAAAAATCTTACTTAATTTTGATTAGTCATGCTTTAGGATTATAGGTATAACACATGCTATTTACTTTTTGGACTCTTGGGAGGACAAGGGTGCTAGGAATGGAAACAAGTGTCGACCAGTTGCTAGACTAGTGCTTTATGATGAGGTACGTGTCCAATCAACTTGTGTGTGTTTGTGTGTGTGTGTTTCTCAGTATGATGATCCCACATGTCTGTGGGTACCCATGGAAGAAAGAAGGTGTTGGATCCCCTGGAGCTGAAGCTACAGGTAATTGTGAACTGCCTGATGTGGTGTTGACAACCATACTTGGGTCCACCTGGAAGACCAGCAAGAGCTCTTAGCTGACCATCTCTCCATCCTCTACTGTGGATTCTTTTCATCTGTGTTATATAGGAGAAAAATATGAATAACTCCTGTTTATTCATGACTGTGATCCACATTATTATTTTGCTTTAGCTTTATGTCTCTTTTTAAATCTGGAAGATTATCTCCTCTACAGAAATAGGACAGAGCAAGGAAAAACAACCAACCTCAGATCACTCAATATCTTTGTGTGTTAAGAAAATCCTTAATCAACATATTCTAAATTTTGAACTAGCCATGAGGTTTATTAGCCGCCCATTCCTTGGTCTGATGTTAACATAGCAGCATATTTTGGGGACATATTTAGAAACCTGAAATAAATAGTAAGATTGAGGCGAGTAGTTGACTATTTTCTAAGAACTGGGTCACTTAACTGAATTTTTTTTTTCTAAATTGGTTTTTAAATTTAATATAATAGCAAATTATTGAGGTTATAAAATATTTATATGGGCCTTACTATTCATAATTTTAGGCTTTCCTCATAAATTATTGGATACTTCAGGTTTTTTATTTGTTTGTTTTGAGGTGGGGAGTTTCTGTTTTACTCTTTGGCTCTTTTGGGGGCCTACCACCCTGCTCCCAAATAAATACACATGGAGGCTTATTCTTTCTTATGAACGCCTGGCCTTAGTGTGGTTTATTTCTAGCTTATTTACGGCTGTTCTTTGTTTTGTTTGTTGTTGGTGGCTTTCTCTGTGTAGCTTTGGAGCCCCTCCTGGAACTCGCTGTGTAAACCAGGCTGACCTTGAACTCAGAGAAATCCACCAGCCTCTGCCCCCC